CTGTCAGAGGCGTCAGGCCTGGGCAAGGGGCCGATCCTGCGATTGGAGGGTGATGGGGGTCAACGCCTGAGGGCTCCCAGTATGTGAGAGGGGGCAGGCTGGGCTGAGGGACACTCACCCCCACCCCCAGTGCACGAATTTCGTGCACCGGGCCCCTAGTATATAATAAAAGCCTAATATGCAAATCCACCGAGCAGTGAAATGACCAGTGGAATGACCGGTCACTATGACATGCACTGACCACCGTGGGCAGATACTCAATGCAGGAGCTGCCCACAGGCCTCAGGCTAGTCAAGGCGGGTGCCAGCAGGGGCCCCCTGATGGCCTCACTGGTCGCCCCGCAGATCAGCCCTGGTCACTGGCCAGGCCTAGGGACCCTACCCATGCACTCAGGCCTCTACTTACTAAATATTGTCAAGAAGTGTTCTAGGTTATAAGGATTTAACAGTGAACAAAACAATAAGGTCCTTTGGGTAGCATATATCCTAGCAAGCAACCACTGTAGAAAGTTGAGTCATGCACTTCCAAAATTTAAGTCCACCCAGAACCAAAGACCTGATTTGGAAATAGAGTCTTTGCCAATTTAATTAGTTAAAGATCTCAATATGAAATCACCGTGGATTCAGTTGGTACCTAAATCCAATAAGAGGAGAGGACACAGAAGAGACACAGGAGAAAGGAGGCCACGTGAAGACACTGGTAGAGATTGGAGCTATGTGGCCACAGCCAACTAATGCCAGAAGCCACCTGAAAGCAAGGAAGAATTCTCCCCTAGATACTTGGGAACGTGGCCTAGCTGACACTTAGGGTTCAGACATCTGGCCTTAAGAATAGTCAGATAATTTCTGTTGTTTTAAGTCCCTAGGTTGGTGATAATTTGCTACAGCAGTCATAGGACATGAATACAATCGAATTTTTTCTCAATAATACACTAACATAGTTAAATCAAGAATAAAACTGTAGCCGGGGCCAGTATGTTCCAGTTGGTTGGGCATCATCCCATGAGTGGAAAGATTGCCAGTTTGTTTCCTGGTCAGGGTACATGCCATGGTTGTGGTCTTGATCTCCAGTAGGGGTGTGCAGGAGGCAAGCCGATCAACATTCATATTTCTCTCTCTCCCTCTCCACCCCCTCTCTCTTTCTCCCTCTTCCCCTTTCTTTCTCTCTAAAAATCAATTTTAAAATCTTTAATAAAAAAAGAATAAAACGGTATACAGTGAAAAATCTCTATCCTAACATGACCCATATATCTGCTGTCTACAAGAAAAAAAAAAATCTCTATCCTACCCTTGTCTCCTATTTACCTAGTTCCTTTTCCATCTCAAACAGGTTAACCTCTGGGTTTCCTGTATATTCTTCCAGAAATTTGTAATATCTATATGCACACACCTACACAACACACACAATACATATTTCTCTACACGGAAAGAAAATCAGAAAAAATGTTTTGCATATTTTTTCACTACATGAGACCATGATTTGTTTCCCCAGTTGAGCCACAATTCCTTAAGAACACAGACTGTTTCCCCAACACCGTACAGGATGGTGGACTGCAAGGAGAGACGTTGAATAAGTGGTGACCGATTCCTCCCCTGAGCACCTGGGCCTCCCTAGCAGCCTCCATTGCCTTACCTCCCACTGCTCCTCCTGTTCCTCTGAACCCGCGCTCACCAGCGTTACCAGTGGTCTCCATAGCAGCAAAATGTAGCGGGCCCTTGTCCTTATGTTGCAGGACCTATTGGCAGCAACATGGTTGCTCCCTAGAACATTCCCTTTTCAGGACTCTCATAATATTACATGCTCCTGCGTTTCCTCCCTTCTCCTGGGTAGTACTTCTCTACTCTCGGGACTCTACTCTAGATCCTTTTCTCAGTCCCTTCCTTTCCCCCATTGGTGATTTTATTCACACCTGTGCTGTCAGTCGCCTTTTCTATGTCAACAACTTCCTATTCCACAGCCGAACCAGCCTCCTGCACT